CACACACACACACACACACACACACACACACACAAGAAAGCTGAAAAAGCAACATTCAATAATACTAAAGCAATTTAATTCACATTTTTAATTAATGCTTAAGTTTTTGTTCGAATAATGAAGATTTTAGTTTTACTTTCATTCTTTACAGAATTGTAATTTACATGCTGCTATGTGCTTTTTGTGGTATTATAAGAACGATAAACAACAGCATATCACGCGACAGGCGAGTACCTAGCTTTGGAGTAATCCATGAACTAAATTTTAAATATTTATCAAATTTATTTACTCAATCTTTAATATGTTTCATATTTAGAGATTTTATAATTTTTGTATTTTTCCTAATAAGTGGAAATATAAAATAAAAATATTTTTGACAATGTATAAGAAATACATCTAATGGTTTGTTAGAATAGAAAGTGCTTAAAATTCGAGAAATAATGATTTAGGTGAGGATAGAGGGATTGATGAAAAAACTGGAAAGACCGGCTTGTCAACTTATATACGAGAGAGAGCCGTTGTATTGTAAAATTCGAACTCACCTATGTCATCAAGACCAACCAGCTGACTGGGACGATTTGAATCGCCGGTATAATGAGATGTTAGTACAAAAGGATAACGTTCGTACAATGCCGGATCATGTGTAAGTTTCAGCTGAATAACTTGTAACAAACATATAAAATCTGACTGTTTATATATTTATATTTATTAATATATTTATTACTGATAAAAATTAAGATGTTTTTTTTGTGTTTTCAGAGTAGCGTATAAACTAGCACCTGAAATGATGGAATTTTATTACGCACGGGACACACTAATTGCTGATCGAATACACTATAATAAAAATAAGATAAACAAAAATTATTGGGAATATCAAAGAATAGCAGCATAACTTTGTATGACATGCGTATGTGAGTGCTATATGTTCTCTCAAATTATTTTATTTTTATTAGAGATTATTTAGACTGATTTGACATTGTTTACTTATAAAATATGAATTATTACATAATTTTTATATGTATAATCGCATTTATAATTTTCAGATTAAATCTTTACTATTTTGAATTGTAAGTAACTTTTATTTTTAAAGAAAAATTTAGATTTTTATTTTTATCCTCCTTCTCAGTCCTATTGCTCGTGACCGACCATGGTAACTTTTCTTATACATACATTCTCTACCTGTGGTATGCATGTTGTACACAGTCATATGGGATGTACTGTTTAATCTCGATTCCGAACAACGATTTTTATTAGAGAAATGCTCTTGGCAAAGATACTCTCGGTGGTTATTGTCTACCGAGAGGAGTTCCGAGCGTATGCAAATTTTTTGGTTCTGCCGGAGATTAATTTTAATGTTTGAAAGCATTAAAAAAAGGTTACACAATAAATTTGAACAACTCAACAATAATACACAACAAAAGAATAATGCTAACAATTTAATTACATTTTTTACTGTTTCCTATGTACTATCAATAGCGGAGAAATTTAAGAGATTTTTTTAAAATAACAGAGCGGTACGTTTGGCTTATGTAGGACTTAATAAACTTAATACTTTTATAAGAGCAAAAAGATAAATTACCTTCACTATTACATTCTAATGTGGTTTATAAAATTAATTGTGATGCATTCTATGTGGGCTAAACAAAACGGTTCTTGAAAACAAGAATTAATGAACATTGGAGTCACTAAATAGGAATACTATGCAACATTCAGTAGATCACAGAACATAGAATGGAGCACAATCACGATTTTGATTGGAATTATATTAAGATATTAAGATTTGTGATGAAGAACAAGGATTTAATAAAAGATTAATTTCGGAAGCAATCTATATAAAAAAGCAAAAAAATGGACTGAATTTACAAAATGACACGGAAATGTTGATAATCCGTTATACAATGACTTAATTAAAAAGAAAAAATGATATTTCCTTATTTTATAAAATGTGTATCGTTGATTTCTAATTTGGTTATTATTTGGTTTATGTTGCTAATTTATTTAGTTGGTTTGTCTAATAAGTTATAATTTTGTATCGTCAATTTTATGTTAATATTTATTTATTTCCTTTTAACATTTATATTAATAAACAATGCGAATACGGAACGTCGTCTCACACGCTCTCAAGACATGGTTATAATCACATCGAATTTATAACGGATCATTATTCTGAGGTGAGTACAAAGTAAGGTTTCTCTAATTGATATTATTAATTTTAATACATTGACTATGAATA